ACAAGGGTCTAGCATGTGCAAAATTGCAAGAACAAGGGCCTAGCGTGTGCAAAATTGCAAGAACAAGGGCCTAGCGTGTGCAAAATTGCAAGAACAAGGGCCTAGCAATTGCAAAATAGCAAGAGCAAGAGCCTAGCGTGTGCAAAAAATCAAGAACAAGGGCCTAGCGTTCGCGAAATAGCAAGAGCAAGGGCCTAGCGTGTGCAAAATGAAAAGATCAAGGGTCTAGCATGTGCAAAATTGCAAGAACAAGGGCCAAGCGTGTGCAAAAAAAAAAGAACAAGGGCCTAGCGTGTGCAAAATAAATAAAAAACAAGGGCCTAGCGAGTGCAAAATAGCAAGAGCAAGGGCCTAGCGTGTGCAAAAAATCAAGAACAAGGGCCTAGCATTCGCGAAATAGCAAGAACAAGGGCATAGCGTGTGCAAAATAAAAAGAACAAGGGTCTGGCATGTGCAAAATTGCAAGAACAAGGGCCTAGCGTGTGCAAAATAAAAAGAACAAGGGCATAGCGTGTGCAAAATAGCAAGAACAAGGGCCTAGCGTGTGCAAAATAAAAAGAATAAGGGCCAAGTGTGTGCAAAATAAAAAGAACAAGGGCCTAGCGTGTGCAAAATTGCAAGAACAAGGGCCTAGCGTATGCAAAATTGCAAGAACAAGGGCCTAGCGAGTGCAAAATAGCAAGAGCAAGGGCCTAGCGTGTGCAAAAAATCAAGAACAAGGGCATAGCGTTCGCAAAATAGCAAGAACAAGGGCCTAGCGTGTGCAAAATAAAAAGAACAAGGGTCTAGCATGTGCAAAATTGCAAGAACAAGGGCCTAGCGTGTGCAAAATAAAAAGAACACGGGCATAGCGTGTGCAAAATAGCAAGAACAAGGGCCTAGCGTGTGCAAAATAAAAAGAACAAGGGCCTAGCGTGTGCAAAATAAAAAGAACAAGGGCCTAGCGTGTGCAAAATTGCAAGAACAAGGGCCTAGCTTGTGCAAAATTGCAAGAACAAGGGCCTAGCGAGTGCAAAATAGCAAGAGCAAAGGCCTAGCGTGTGCAAAATAAAAAGAACAAGGGCCTAGCGTTCGCGAAATAGCAAGAGCAAGGACCTAGCGTGTGCAAAATAAAAAGAAAAAGGGTCTAGCATGTGCAAAATTGCAAGAACAAGGGCCTAGCGTGTGCAAAATTGCAAGAACAAGGGCCTAGCGTCTGCAAAATTGCAAGAACAAGGGTCTAGCGAGTGCAAAATAGAAAGAGCAAGGGCCTAGCGTGTGCAAAAAATCAAGAACAAGGGCCTAGCGTTCGCGAAATAGCAAGAACAAGGGCCTAGCGTGTGCAAAATAAAAAGAACAAGGGTCTAGCATGTGCAAAATTGCAAGAACAAGGGCCTAGCGTGTGCAAAATAAAAAGAACAAGGGCATAGCGTGTGCAAAATAGCAAGAACAAGGGCCTAGCGTGTGCAAAATAAAAAGAACAAGGGCGTAGCGTGTGCAAAATAAAAAGAACAAGGGCCTATCGTGTGCAAAATTGCTTGAACAAGGGCCTAGCGTGTGCAAAATTGCAAGAACAAGGGCCTAGCGAGTGCAAAATAGCAAGAGCAAGGGCCTAGCGTGTGCAAAAAATCAAGAACAAGGGCCTAGCGTTCGCAAAATAAAGAGAACAAGGGTCTAGCATGTGCAAAATTGCAAGAACAAGGGCCTAGCGTGTGCAAAAAAAAAAGAACAAGGGCATAGCATGTGCAAAATAGCAAGAACAAGGGCCTAGCGTGGGCAAAATAAAAAGAACAAGGGCCTAGCGTGTGCAAAATAAAGAGAACAAGGGCCTAGCGTGTGCAAAATTGCAAGAACAATGGCCTAGCGAGTGCAAAATAGCAAGAGCAAGGGCCTAGCGTGTGCAAAAAATCAAGAACAAGGGCCTAGCGTGTGCAAAATAAAAAGAACAAGGGCCTAGCGTGTGCAAAATAAAAAGAACAAGGGCCTAGCGTGTGCAAAATTGCAAGAACAAGGGCCTAGCGTGTGCAAAATAAAAAGAACTAGGGCATAGCGTGTGCAAAACGGCAAGAACAAGGGCCTATCGTGTGCAAAATAAAAAGAACAATGGCCTAGCGTGTGCAAAATAAAAAGAACTAGGGCATAGCGTGTGCAAAATAGCAAGAACAAGGGCCTATTGTGTGCAAAATAAAAAGAACAAGGGCCTAGCGTGTGCAAAATTAAAAGAACAAGGGCCTAGCGTGTGCAAAATTGCAAGAACAAGGGCCTAGCGAGTGCAAAATAGCAAGAGCAAGGGCCTAGCGTGTGCAAAAAATCAAGAACAAGGGCCTAGCGTTCGCAAAATAAAGAGAACAAGGGTCTAGCATGTGCAAAATTGCAAGAACAAGGGCCTAGCGTGTGCAAAAAAAAAAGAACAAGGGCATAGCATGTGCAAAATAGCAAGAACAAGGGCCTAGCGTGGGCAAAATAAAAAGAACAACGGCCTAGCGTGTGCAAAATAAAGAGAACAAGGGCCTAGCGTGTGCAAAATTGCAAGAACAATGGCCTAGCGAGTGCAAAATAGCAAGAGCAAGGGCCTAGCGTGTGCAAAAAATCAAGAACAAGGGCCTAGCGTGTGCAAAATAAAAAGAACAAGGGCCTAGCGTGTGCAAAATAAAAAGAACAAGGGCCTAGCGTGTGCAAAATTGCAAGAACAAGGGCCTAGCGTGTGCAAAATAAAAAGAACTAGGGCATAGCGTGTGCAAAACGGCAAGAACAAGGGCCTATCGTGTGCAAAATAAAAAGAACAATGGCCTAGCGTGTGCAAAATAAAAAGAACTAGGGCATAGCGTGTGCAAAATAGCAAGAACAAGGGCCTATTGTGTGCAAAATAAAAAGAACAAGGGCCTAGCGTGTGCAAAATTAAAAGAACAAGGGCCTAGCGTGTGCAAAATTGCAAGAACAAGGGCCTAGCGTGTGCAAAATAAAAAGAACAAGGGCCTAGCGTTCGCGAAATAGCAAGAGCAAGGACCTAGCGTGTGCAAAATAAAAAAACAAGGGTCTAGCATGTGCAAAATTGCAAGAACAAGGGCCTAGCATGTGCAAAATTGCAAGAACAAGGGCCTAGCGTGTGCAAAATTGCAAGAACAAGGGCCTAGCGAGTGCAAAATAGCAAGAGCAAGGGCCTAGCGTGTGCAAAAAATCAAGAACAAGGGCCTAGCGTTCGCGAAATAGCAAGAGCAATTGCCTAGCGTGTGCAAAATGAAAAGATCAAGGGTCTAGCATGTGCAAAATTGCAAGAACAAGGGCCAAGTGTGTGCAAAATAAAAAGAACAAGGGCATAGTGTGTACAAAATAGCAAGAACAAGGGCCCAGCGTGTGCAAAATAAAAAGAACAAGGGCCTAGCGTGTGCAAAATAAAAAGAACAAGGGCCTAGCGTGTGCAAAATTAGGTTGCGGGTATGGGGGTGACCGGTGTGCATTCATCCCTTTGCTCCTCCTCCTCCTTCGTCTCCCACTGCTGCAGCTGTCGCTGAGGGGGGTGGTTGTGTGGGAGACTGGGGTTTAGGGTTTAAGGGGGGTGCGTGGGAGTGGAGCTAGTGGTGTAGCAGCGGGTGTGTGTCGGGGGGGTGGGACTGTTTGGGGACACTTCATGGAGGTCGCCGTACTGTTGTCCGCAGCACCTGTAGTCCGGGGCGCTGTCCCGGTAGCCCAGTGAGCTAAACTTCTACGCCAGCCGCCCGTGGGTTCGTTGCCCATCTGCCGCTACTTTAGCCACGGGGCCTGTTACTCCTGTAGTCCGAGCGCTGTCCGGTAGCCGCTGTGCCAGTCTGCCTCCTGTTGCCCGTGTGTCTGCAGCTTCAGACGTCGCCTCCTATCCCCCCCCCCCCCCCCTCACTCTCTCTCCTCCTCCTCACTTGCCCGTTGTGACTACCACTAGCTTTGCTCATAATTGTGAACTCTAAACTTTTGCTTCTTGAACTTGTGCTCAGAATGTGTGGTGACATTGTGATCCACCCTGAGCTTGTACTGTTTTGCCTGCTCTGCTGATTACACCCCACTTTGGCTATGGGGGTGTGTCAGAATGTTATTCTTATGTTCTAGCCTGTAGTGGGGTGCTCTATAGCGAGTACAACTCTTCTAGGGTTTGCTATTTGTATCCCCATTTCTGCTAGTTCAATCCTCTTTTGCCTAACTTGTTTCTTGACTAGCTAGGTCATTCCTAGCTATGGCTCCTTGCTCTACCTACTTTCTTCACACTAGTGTATGCAAAATAAAAAGAATAAGGGCCTAGCGTGTGCAAAATTGCAAGAACAAGGGCCTAGCGTGTGCAAAATTGCAACAACAAGGGCCTAGCGTGTGCAAAATTGCAAGAACTGTCAAACATTATATATGTTATGTTTGTGTAGGCTACAGTGGGTTAGCCTATAGGGGGTACACAATTCTAGGGTTTCCTACTTGTACTTTTTTCACTGCTAGTTGATCCATTCCTGTTCACTTATTTCACATGGTATAGAGCGGGTCCTTCCTTAGGACCGTTTTTTTTAGGGCCCACCGAAGCGCGCCCCGAGGCGCGCCCTTTTTTTTTAGCGACCCCTCGGGTCGCCATTTCCCTCGCGGCCCCGCTGTCCCTCAGACGCGGCCCCGCCACCCCTCCTGATCGCGGCCCCGCCGCCTGCTTGACGCGGCCCCGCCGCCTCCACTGACGCGGCCTCACCGCCGGCTCTGACGCGGCCCTGCCGCCCGCTTCGTCGCGGCCCCGCCGCCTGCTTGACGCGGCCCCGCCGCCTCCACTGACGCGGCCCCGCCGCCGGCTCTGACGTGGCCCTGCCGGCCCGCCGCTGCACCCTGCGGCCCGCCGCTGCACCCTACGGCCCGCCGCCTCCCCTGACGGCCCCGCCGCTGCACCTGCCGGCCCGCCGCTGCACCTGCCGGCCCGCCGCTGCACCCAGCGGCCCGCCGCTTCACCTGACGGCCCCGCCGCTGCACCTGCCGGCCCGCTGCTGCACCCTACGGCCCGCCGCTGCACCCTACGGCCCGCCGCCTCACCTGGTCGGCCCGCCGCTGCACCCTACGGCCCTGTCGCTGCACCTGCCGGCCCGCCGCTGCACCGGTCGACCCGCAGCTGCACCTGACGGCCCCGCCCCTGCATCTCCCGGCCGAGCCGCCCCAGCAGCAGAGCCGCCCCAGCAGCCAAACCGCCCGGGAGCCGAGCCGCCCAACGCCGAGCCGCCCGGGACCCGAGCCGCCCTGCCGCCGAGCCGCCCGGGAGCCGAGCCGCCCTGCGCCCGAGCCGCCCTGCCGCCGAGCCGCCCGGGAGCCGAGCCGCCCAGCAGCCGAGCCGCCCGGGAGCCGAGCCGCTGTGCACCCGAGCCGCCCGGTCGCTGAGCCGCCTTTCTGCAGAGCTGCACGACCTGCCCTGCCTGGTGAGCACAGTCCCACTGACACTGCGAGCTCTTTCCCTACTGCTTGCACTGCGTCGCTGTCGTCGCCATGGCTACCCCTAGTGTCCTAGCTTTTGACGCTGAGGGTCGCGCCATTGATTTTGAGGTCTGGTTAGACGACCTGCAGCTGTTCTTACAGTGCGACAGGGCTGACGACCTTTCTCTCTTTGACCTCACCTCTGGCGCCTCTCCTGCTCCTGCTGCTGATGCTGATCCCACTGTCCGCTCTCAGTGGGCCACCCGCGATGCTGCTGCACGTCTTGCTGTGCGTCGCCACCTCCCTACCTCTGAGCGTGCGCACTTTAGTCAGTACAAGAGTGCTCAGACCTTGTACGACGCTGTAGTTGCGCGCTACTCCTCCCCTGCCACTGCTGCACTGAGCCGTCTCATGCTTCCCTACCTCTTTCCTGACCTCTCTGCCTTTCCCACTGTTGCTGACCTCATTACGCACCTCCGCTCTAGTGACACTCGCTACCGCGCCGCCCTTCCTGCTGAGTTCTGCGCTAAGAACCCACCTCCCATGTACATCGCTCTCTACTACGTAGTCGCGCGCCTCCCTGACTCCCTTCACGTCGTCAGGGACCACTTTCTCGCAGTCTGTCCCACCACCCTCACCGTCGACCTCCTCGAGAAGGCCCTCCTCGCAGCGGAGAAGAGCATAGTCGCTGTAGGTGCTTCTCGTGGTGACCCTCGCACCCCCATCTTTGAGGGGTGCTCTCCTTCCCCCTTGCTGCCCTCTGTTGCCTCTGCTGCTGCTGCCGACCTGCTTGGTCTTGAGTCAGTCGGCGCGGCGTCTACCCCTGGTGGGAGACGTCGCTCCAGCAAGGGCAAGGGGGGCAAGGGTGCGGGTGGAGCTGGAGGGGGCGGTGGCGGTGGCGGCGGTGGCGGCGGAGGGAGTGGGGGTGGCGGCGGGACTAGTAGCGGGGGTGGTGGTGGTGGTGGCAGCAGCGGCGGAGACGGTGGTGGTGGTGCCAGCGGTGGTGGTGGAGGCAGCGGCGGAGGTGGAGGCGGCGGAGGTGGAGGCGGTGGAGGCGGCAGCGGAGGAGGCAGTGGTGGTGGAGGAGGTGGAGCTGGTCGGGGTGGTACCCAGCAGCGTCGCGGCGGTGGTGGTGGCCAGCGCTCGCAGCGGCAGCAGCAGCAGCGCTCGCGGGACATCCCTCCGCCTCAGCAGCTTCGAGAGTGGTACGCTGGGCGTCAGAGGGGTGGGGGTACTGGTCCCTGCACCTACGTTCTTCGTTCCGGCGACCACGCGGGTGAGCAGTGTGGGGGTGCCCACGCCACCCAGCGCTGCTTTGGCCGCCTGACGGACGCTTGGCGTCAGCAGTTCCCTGGGGCTAGTGAGATCCCTCGCTGGGATGAGCTTCTCAGGGCTGGTGTAGCGATCTTTGATCTTGATTTTGATGCTATCCTTGCTGCTATGTATGCTGTGGATTATAGTGAGGAGAATGAGGGTTACCGGTGTTTCCAGCCGGACCCGGGCATTGGTACTGCTGCGCTAGGTGCTTGTGAGGCTACTGCTCTAGGTGCCATTGCATCTGCGCTCTCAGGTACTGGTGAGACTGCGCTCTCAGGTACTGCGTCGCCCTCGTCCTCCCTCACTTTCACACTTGACTCAGGGGCTTCTCGCTCCTTCTTTCGAGACCGCACTACCCTTACGCCGCTTGGCCGGCCGGTTGCGGTCTCCCTTGCTGACCCCTCTGGGGGTCCTGTCCTGTCTCACTTCTCCACTGTCCTCCCGTGTTCGGCTGCCCCTTCGGGCACCCTGTCTGGTCTGTACCTTCCCTCGTTCTCTACGAACTTGGTGAGTGGTGCAGCCCTGCAGGATGCGGGGGTTCACCAGTTCACTCCTGCGAGTCAGCGGGTGACCCACTGCACGGACGCACGCACAGGCCGACACCTGGCCACCTTCTCGCGTCGGCCAGGGTCGAGTCTCTACACCCTGACCACTTCGTCTCCTCCTGTCCCTGCGTCCGGTCGGGTAGCTGCGTCAGGTCAGGTGTTTGCTGCTGCGTCCCGGTCAGGTCCTGAGTCTGCCCCCTGTTCCTGTCGTCTCCTGTCTCACGAGACTCTCCTGTGGCACCACCGTCTTGGCCACCCCTCCTTGCCCCGTCTTCGGAGCATGGCTTCCCGTGTCCTTGTCTCTGGTCTTCCCCAGTCTCTCCCTCCTCTCCCCTCCGGGCCAGGACCTTCCTGTGTCCCCTGTGTCGAGGGTCGCCTCCGGGCTACTCCTCACTCCTCCCACTTCCCCCCGACAGAGGCTCCCCTGCAGACGCTTCACATGGATGTGTGGGGCCCAGCCCCCGTCCGTGGGCAGGGCTACGAGCGCTACTTCCTGTTGGTGGTTGACGACTACTCGCGTTACACCACAGTCCTCCCCTTGCGCAGCAAGGGTGCGGTCACTGAGGTGCTGATCGACTGGATCCGCGAGGCTCGTCTCCAGCTCAGGCAGAGCTTCGGCTCGGACTTTCCTGTTCTGCGTCTGCACTCGGACAGAGGCGGAGAGTTCTCTTCTCGCCTTCTGCGGGACTACTGTCGTGCACGGGGGATTCGCCAGACCTTCACGCTTCCGGACTCACCACAGCAAAATGGGATTGCTGAGCGCCGCATTGGCATGGTCATGGATGTCGCTCGTACGTCCATGATGCATGCGGCTGCCCCCCATTTTCTGTGGCCGTTTGCGGTGAGGTACGCGGCGCATCAGCTCAACCTTCACCCCCGGGTCTCTCGGCCTGCGATGTCCCCAGCCTTGCTGTGGACGGGGAAGGTTGGCGATGCGTCTGTGTTCCGTGTCTGGGGATCTCGGGCGTTTGTCCGCGACTTGTCTGCGGACAAGCTGTCCCCTCGTGCTGCTCCCTGTGTCTTCCTTGGCTTCCCCATTGACGCCCCAGGGTGGCAGTTTTACCACCCCTCCTCTCGTCGTGTTCTGTCCTCCCAGGACGTCACGTTCGACGAGTCAGTCCCCTTCTACCGTCTCTTCCCCTACCGCACTCCTTCCCTCCCCCCTCCCCCGGACTTCCTTGTGCCGGTTCCCCCCCCGGTAGACCCCCTCCCCCCTCAGGTTCCTGCCCCCTCAGGTGTGTCCCAGGTAGACGCTGTTGACCCGGTCGAGGTTAGTGGTGACTCTGGTGCTGCTGCGGGTGCTGAGCCTGGGGGTGCTGACTCTGGGGGTGCTGTGCGCGGGGGTGCTGAGCCTGGGGGTGCTACTACTGGGGGTGCTGGGCCTGAGGGTGCTACTGCGGAGGGTGCGGAGCCTGGGGGTGCTGAGCCGGGGGGTGCTGTGCCTGGAGGTGCTGGGTCTGGGGGTGCTGGGTCGGGAGCTGCTGAGCCTGGGGGTGCTGAGCTGGGAGCTGCTGAGCCTGGGGGTGCTGCGTCTGGAGCTGCTGAGCCTGGGGTTTCTCCTGCTGCTGCGTCTCGCCGGGAGCCCCTCTCTCCACAGGAGTTGCGTGAGTGGTTTGCTCGCCGCTGGAGGCGTGCTGCTGAGTCTGGAGGTGCTGCTGGAGCTGGAGCTGGAGCTTCTTCGACCGTCGAGGGTGCGGGTGCTGCCGGTCCCGGAGCTGCTGGACCTGCGGGTCCTCCTGGAACTGGAGCTGCTGAGGGCGTTGGTGCTGAGCCTACTGCTGTTGGTCCTGCCGCTGGAGGTGTGGGTGGCGCTGGTGCTATCGCTGAGGGTGCTGGTGCTGTCCCTGCTGAGTCTGGAGCTGCCGCGCAGCCTCGGCCGTACTTCGTTCCGCTCCTGCGGCAGGTTCTTGGTCTTTCTCCTCCAGTAGAGGGTCCACCGCCTGTCCAGTCGCAGTCCCTGCTGGAGCCTTCCTCTCCACTGCCTGCTCCCTCTCCTTACACTGGTCCTACTGGAGGTCTTGCTGAGCGTCGTGAGCCTTCGTCTCGTCCCGCGTCGCCTGTTCGTGCTGCTCGCGCTAGTGGTCGCAGTTCGCGTCAGCGTCCTCCTCCTGTCCCTGGCACGCACCAGATGTCTTTGCGTCCGTCCACTGCTCCTCTGCGCGCCCCTTTGCCTTCTCCTCCTGAGTCCTCTCTTCCTGCGCTTGCCGACCTTGAGTCGGACTCTCTTCGTGCTGCCAGTCCTACTGTCACGCGCCTGCTTGCTACTGTCGTCACTGACCCCTCTTTTGAGTCCACTGCTGCGTCTGCTCTAGTCGCTGAGCTCGTCGACTTTGCTGCTCGCTATCGTCTCGACTACGCTGCTAGTCTTGTTGCTGAGTCTGCGTCTGTCTGTCCTCCGTCCGTCGGGGGTGAGTGTGCTCTTGGCACGGACGTCCTAGAGGACAGGCAGGAGGAGTTACAGTGTCTAGTGGCTGCTTCACCTCATCTCGCGTCTGTACTGCTTGCCCCTGAGGGAGACCCGGATGCACTAGACATCCCGACTCCGCGTTCTTACGCGGAGGCCGTAGAGGGTCCCTACTCCTCTCAGTGGCAGGCAGCTATGGATGCAGAGATGGCTTCCTGGAAGTCCACAGGCACCTACGTTGACGCGGTTCCCCCTCCTGGGGCGAACATTGTCAGTGGCATGTGGATCTTCAGGGTGAAGCGGCCGCCGGGCTCTCCACCTGTCTTCAAGGCACGGTACGTTGCTCGTGGCTTCAGTCAGCGGCAGGGAGTTGACTACTTCCAGACCTTCTCTCCCACCCCGAAGATGACTACTCTTCGGGTGCTGCTGCACATAGCCGCTCAGCGCGACTACGAGCTTCACTCTCTCGACTTCAGCACTGCGTTCTTGCAGGGTAGCCTGCACGAGGAGATCTGGCTTCGCCGTCCACCTGGCTTCACTGGGACTTTCCCTCCTGGCACCCAGTGGAGCCTCCGACGGCCAGTCTACGGTCTCCGCCAGGCACCGCGTGAGTGGCACGACACACTGAGGACTACGCTTGCGGCTCTTGGGTTTGCTCCTTCTTCTGCTGACCCGTCGCTGTTTCTTTGCACCGACACTTCCCTGCCGCCGTTCTACATCCTCGTGTACGTCGACG